GACAACCGACAGACCGTCATTCCGCTGGCCCCAGCGCCCGCGAGCGCTATGACAATCTCTCTTGGCGACGACCGTGCCGGCCACCACGTCCGTGGCGAGCCGCCTGGCCGCAGCCGCCTGCTGCTCCTTGTTGAAGACCTCCGCGTTCGCCCTCAGGACGGACGCCGAGGGACGGGCAAGGCGGAGTCTCTGCCAGCTTCATGAACTTGTCCTCCACCACCTGCCTGCTGTCGTACCAGTCCAGCAGCTCGTCGTCCGACGTGTCGCTGTCCTCGCGTTGCTCCAGCTCGTCGTTGTCGGCCAGCCTGTAACACTCCAGCGCGACGCCGCCGACCTCAGGAAACGCGCCCCGCTCCTTCAGTCCACCTCCCTGGCCGAGGGCGACCGTGAGCGATGCTGCCTCCTCCTCCTCCTCCTTCTTGTCCTTCTTGCCCTTCGGGAACCCCGCCGCGGCCGAGCCGCCCTGCGGCGTGGCGCCCACCCATGCTGATGGCGGCCCCGAGCGGGTCCACGGAGTCGAGGCAGCCGACGCCGATGCCGATGCCTCCATCCTCGGGGACCGCGAGCGCGAGCGAGGCCTCGCTGTCCCTGTCCAGCGCGACCAGCGCGTGCTCACCTTCAGTTTGTCCGCCTCCTGGTGCTCCCAGTTGCATGGAGGAGGCGAGGGCACCTTGTCCTCCACCTCGCCGTCCAGGGTGGCCTTCAACGGTGCCGACGATGGCCTGATCGTCGAAGGCCTTGGCTGCGGGCGAGCCTTGGCAGGCGTCGTAGAAGCGCGCACCGCCGCCGAACCCGGCGCCGCAGCCGTCTCCACCAGGTTGAGCGCTTCCACGTGCCCAGCGCCAGCGGAGCGAGACAGGCACTGCGTCGCCGGCGCCGTCGGTTGCCGCCAGGGCAACGAGGCGCGCCATGACATGACCCGCGCAGACGCGCCGCAGGAGGAGAAGGAGGAGGAGGAGGAAGAGCAGGGGGAGGAGGAGGAGGAGGAGGAGGAGGAGGAGGAGGAGGAGGAGGAGGAGGAGGAGGAGGAGGAGGAGGAGGAGGAGGAGGAGAGAGGAGGGGAGGAGGAGGAGGAGGGGAGGAGGAGGAGGAGGAGAGGAGGAGGAGGAGGAGGAGGAGGCACGAAAGGCCGCAGCCCAGACCTTTTCAAGACGCTGCATGTCTTGTCTTCGGGTCATAGCTCGGCTCTCAAGCGGCCGTTCGGGATCCTCCGGGCGCCCCGGGAGCGCCCCCGGCGAGGCGCAGCCGCTGGAAAGCATCCCGAGGCTGGGAAGCCGCGGAGGACGGACGATAAGCCCCCTCGAACCTCGAACCTCGAGCCTTGAACCCCGAACCTCGAACCTCGAGCCTCGAGCCTCGAACCTCGAGCCTCGAGCCTCGAACCCTGACGCGTTCGAGGAAGCGTTCCAGTGCTGCGGAGGGATGGGCCTCGGGGGCCCCGAGGCGCGCCCCGAGGGTGCCTCGAGGTCCGCCCGCCCGCGCGCTGCCCGCGCCGTGCGGTGCCTCTCCTCAAGGGGGCCTCGGGCCTCAAGGGGGTCTCGAGGCAATCCTCGAGAGGGGCCTCCTCCTCCTCCTCCTCCTCCTCCTCCTCCCTCCTCCTCCATCCTCCTCCCTCCTCCTCCCTCCTCGGGATCCCTCCTCCTCCTACCTCCTCCTGGCTGGGGTTCGGTCGGGCATGTCCTCCTGCAGGCGGATGTTGGAAGACAAATTTAGCGTCGCCAAAAATAAGCAACACGAATCAAATAACATCTGCCAAACATAATCAGACATGGTCCACAAAAGCTCCACTCCTGGCAACGGAGTGAGCGGCTCCTGGCGCAGGCTGGGGGCCGCGGGCAGCGCGCCAGCGCTCACCCCCTAACGCCGCTCCGGGCGGCCGTGGCTGCGGGTCCTTGCCAGGCCGCAGCGTCTACATCGCTGGGCCCTAGGACCACCCGTATGGCATCACACCTGATTGCTGGTCTGTGCGACTGGGCATGATTGCTGGTCTCCGTCAGAGGCCTGGGCATGATTGCTGGCACTGGGCCCGGGCATGATGGTCAATGTTGCTGTTTGGGCTCCGTGGGCCAGGTCGGGCCACTCGCGGCGAGTTTCCCGCTCGAAGTTTTAAACGTGCTCTGTTGAGCTGGATTGTTTCACGTCCGCGTCACGGCCCTTTAACGCTCCTGGACGTGCATCGCTACCGCATGTTCGCAGGCCTACTCTAAGTTGGTCAAGTGGGGTGCCCGTTTTCACCTCACTTCCTTTCACACGCGGCACCACCCTGTGGCTTCCCACGCGCTTCCTCACGCAGCTGGGCCCTTGAGATGCCGAGTGTCTCCCTGCCCGCGGGGTTCCGGTGACCTCTTGTCGGGTGGGCTCATCACGTCCTACCACCTGAGTAGATTTCCACCTCTTGCTGTGCGCCTAGCTTTCTTCTCAGGCACTGTCTCTTCCCAGGCGCTTGCTTGCAGCCAACTTTAAGTCAGGCGCTTGCAGCTAACTTCAAGTCGCACCTGTCCTGAGCAGGCCACAACTGCACGCTGCGTGTGTGCTACCCTCCTTGGGGCACGCAGCAATCAATTCGGGCACGTGTGACTTCAGATCATCGGAAAGTCTATCTCGCTCAATATTTCACTTTTCACCGAAAAATCGTCCCCGGACTATTTGTTGACTGTTCTTGCATATTCCTCCTGTAGTGTGACACGCCCGACTTGAAGCTAGGATCGGAGCAGCCCAGGCACCCTTGATTCATGAAAAAATCCAGACGGGAATTGATCCGCTGCTTTCAACCTCTGGGGGCCCTTACTGGGCCTCTGAATCGTCAGAAATCGGGAATGGCCAAGAGGGGGGTGTCCAAGAGGGGGGGGGTGCAAATCATGACCGGCGGCATGTGCGCGGCCCAGCGGGGGGGCCAGGAACGTATGAAACAAGAAGAGGCGCCATGAAATCTGGGGAAATATCATGGCCCCCGCCATGATGTCCACCCCCCCCCTAGTCACCACCCCCCTCTTTGCCGCCCCCGAAGAAACGAACCAGGATGAAAACCCGGTCCCAGGGAATGGGTCGAGAACTTTAGGGAGGAGGAGGAGGAGGAGGAGAAGGAGGAGGAGGAGGAGGAGGAGGGAGGAGGAGGGAGGAGGAGGTGGGGGGCGACCGCTTGAACCAAGTCATGGCGTCTCGGGTCTGGGCAGACGGGGTCGGCAGATCGCGCCGCATCCCCGATGCGTCGTCGGCCGACGCTGGTGCGTACGCGACGCCGACGAGGAGAAAGTTCTGCTCCTCATCGAGCCGTATCGCGGATGCATCGGCGATGCGGCGAGATCCTTCCGCCCCATCTACCTCGGCCCCATTTGGGAGGTCTGGAGCTTTGGGAGGCGCCTCGGGGTCTTTCTCGAACGTCGTTCGCGACTTACGTTTTAGCACGGGTGATGGGCCTCGGGGTTCTTACCCAGACGTGTAGCGCATTGAAAGAAGCAGAGCACGCAAACTTTTTGCAAATTTCGACCTAATGGGGGGCCTTACCGGGCCCCGGGACCGTCAAACAACAACTCAGGATGAAACGCTGCTCCAAGGTGGAGGGTCGTAACTTTCAGGGACTGCTTTGGAAAATCTAAGCATAGCATGCCTAGGTAGGGGAGCTCCCTGATCATCGTCGAATGTCGTCCGCGCTACGTTCTGTGATAGTGACGGAGGGCCTCTGGGATGTTGGGGCGAGCTTCGAAGGGCCCAGGATCGTCGAAGCATGTCGACGACAACTCCCAGCAAGTCCCTGTTGGAGACCAGAGGGCGGCTGGCCAGCAGGATCAGGCGGGTCGTGGACGACATCAGTGCGAACGTGGATGTCTTGGGTTCATGTGACTCCGAAAGCCCCCTGGAACGCTGTCGTCTTTCGATCGCAGTGAAAGGTGGCCGCATGCCCAAATGACTGGTTGAAGTTGCAAGTGTGACGCGTCAGCGCTGGAAAATTGGAACAGCAACTTCGGCTCACCACTGCTTGCAATTGGGGCCCCGCCGCGTCCATGAACGTGGACAACCCACCGTCCGTGTAAACACCGCGAGCATTAAACACAGATGTGCGCTGCTAGCGCGGATGCTCGCGGCGCGCAGGCGTAAGTCAAGTTTCGGAGACAACGCGCCATGCGTCGGTGTAGCTTCCGGATCAAGTTGCAATGCATGTGCACAGCACTGCGGCGAGATCCACATTTTGAAAACCACCTCACCTGCATCCGCGCAATTACTGGAGATGTTTAAAGCGAATGCGCGGGGTGCTAAGGCGAGAGTCAGGATTCGAAAGCTGCCCACCCTCCAGCAGTGTAGATGATGGTGTGTGCGTGTGCGTGTGCGTGTGCGTGTGCGTGTGCGTGTAAGTGCAAGTGTACGTGCAAGTGTGAGTGCAAGTGTATGTGAATGTGTGAGTGCCAGTGTGTCTAAGTGTGTGTAAGTGTGTGGACGTGCGTGTAAGTGTAAGTGTGTGTATGCATGTGTGTGCGTGTGTGCGTGTATATCAATGTGTGTGTGTCAAACGCCCAAATGAAACATTGCGAGGAAGCCTCAAGACGGAACGCCACGCCCGAACTGCCTACACTTCTTTCTTAAGAGCCCGCGCGGTGAGAAGGAGGAGGAGGAGGAGGAGGAGGAGGAGATGGAGCGAGGTGGTGCGAGGAGGATGGTGAGGGCGAGGTGGGGGAGGAGGCTAGGCTAGGTCAACCAAGGTGTTGCAAGGAAGACGAAAATGAACAGTCTTTTGCATTTAGGTGTGATTGCGGAGGAGGAGGAGGAGGAGGAGGAGGAGGAGGAGGAGGAGGAGGAGGAGGGATGCGTAGGGGGCAAGGAGAAGGAGAGAGGGAGCGAGTCAGGAATTCTGGAACAGGAGCGAAGATGAGGGTGGGGTAGGGGGTGGGAGACGGGAAACGCGTGAGAGGGGGGGGGAAGGAGTAGTAAGGACAGGCAGAAAGGAGGAAGAGACCAAATGAAGGAATAAGGAGGACCAGGGATAGAAGAGCGACAAGGGGTAGATCCTTGACGGCCTTCTCCACGGCGTTGGTGACCTCGGTGTTCATGGCTTTACCCTGGGCGGTGCTGAAGCGGAAGGGTCTATAAGGATGAGTGGGGGAGAGGGATGACGCGGAGGATTGCACGCAAAGTGGGGCTCAGGTTAGGATGTTAGTAAGCAGGGACGAGGCGAAGACAGGAACGACGAATAGGCATCATGACCAGATGGCAGCGATTACCATCATAAGGACGACAAAGATGATGATGGCGACGATGATGCTGTTGGTGATGACGGCGGTGATGATGCTGATGCTGTTGATGATGATGGTGATGATGGTCGTGGTGGTGATCGTGATGATAGGGGCGATGATAAGGAGAAACGTGAGGAAGAGGCGGACTATCATCACGATAGACAGGGGGAAACCAGGATAAGAAGGCAGAGACAGAGAGAAAGAGAGAGAGAGAGAGACGTACAGAGAATAAGAACCTCACGATGCGGATAATCGGGCAGGGAAGAGAAAGAGGATCCGTAATGACGATGTTGGTCGTGATCATGCTTACGGTGATGATGTGAATGATGATGCTGATGTGATGAGGCTGATGATGACGATGATGATGATGACGATGACGATAAAGATGATGATGGTGCTGACAACGATGATAATGCTGATGGTGATGATGGTGCAGATGATGATAGTGTTGCTGGTGATACATCCGATAATGATGACGATGATGCTGATGCTGATTATGATGGTGACAAAGGTAATGATGCTACTGCTGATGATGATGCTGATGATGATGCTGCTGATAATGATGATGCTGATGATGATGATGATGATGATGATTAGGATGATGCTGATGATGATAATGAAGATGCTGACGATGACGATGGCAATGATCAGGATGGTTATGATGATACTGATGATGCACTGATGATGAAGCCGATGAACATGTCAACGACGACGACACCGCCAGCGATGATGATGATGATGATGATGATGATGATGATGATGATGATGATGATGATGATGATGATGATGATGATGATGATGATGATGATGATGATGATCATGATGGGGATGGTGATGATGATGGTGAGGAGGAGGAGGAGGAGGAGGAGGAGGAGGAGGAGGAGAAGGATGTAGATGAGGATGATGAGGAGGAGGACGAGGAGAGGAGGAGGAGGAGGAGGAGGGAGGAGGAAGGAGGAGGGAGGAGGAGGAGGAGGAGGGGGAGGAGGAGAGGAGGAGGAATAGGAGGGGGAGGAAAACGGGGAGGAGCCGAAATCTGAGGACAGAGAGGACAGGGTCTGAGAACGAGGAGGGCCACGAGAACGAAAAGGAGGGCGGGCCGGTGCCCCCCCCCCCCCCCCCTATCAGCAGCAACGGCCCGCTGTAGCCTCCAGTCCAATTCCACATTGGCCTCTGGAGCACCCTCCGTCCAAAACGGCCCCACAACGGCCTCGATCCTCCTCGAAGCCGCTGGAGACCGCCCACAGAGAGCCCCTGGAAGCGTCCAGAAGCCCCGAGCCTCGACCCTCGCTGTTCCTCGACACTCCTTGGAACTCGACGAGGAGGCTCCTCGACCTTACTCCTCCTCCTCCTCGCACGCTCGCTCGCGACCGAAGGGCAAGACAGGTCCGAAACCCATACTTAAATCCTCCTCCTCCTCCTCCTCCTCCTCCTCCTCCTCCTCCTCCTCCTCCTCCTCCTCCGTAGCCATTTTGGCTCAAGACCCATGCTTTGGCGGGCTGAGCCCGCATTGGCAAAAACGGATACCGCTAGTCCGCGGCAGTTATCAACCTTTCAGGAGGTCCCTCAGTCGAGGGGTTCGCGAGCCTCCATCATCCCTTTCCTCTTTCTCGCGCCATGGCTCCTGCAGGCTCTGACGAGTGGGAGCGCCGACCGTGGGTTCAGGCCTCCAGGCCCCGTCGCTGGGGGGGCACCATACCTGAGGGCGGGGCTTCATCGGCTGCCAAGTGGGAGTCCTGGGACGGCCAGCGAACCAAGCACGAGGAAGTATGGAAGACGGTGGCGGGTCCCAAAGGTGAAATTCTATGCCACCACTGCGGTTGCCGTAAGAACTCTAAAGGATCGATGTGTTGCAAGCATTGTGGCCAGAAGCTCGGTACACGACCCCAACCTCTGGAAGACTCTGGTGGCCCCAAGTCGTCGGATGAGTCGGGGAAGGGAGCGAACAAGGGGAAGAAAGGATACAAAGGCGGCAAGGGTGATCCTCTCGGTGGCAAGGGCGCTGGCAACCTCTCATCTGCTCTCCCTCCTGGACCCGTTCCCGAGATTCCTCAGGCCAAGGCCCTCGAACTACAGCGTTTGGCTCGGGAAGCTGGGGACGCTGCGGGGGCCGCGCGATATGGAGCACTGGCGCAGAGGGCGGCTCCACCCCCGAAGCCGTCGGGGAGGCAGCGGCTCGTGGCTGCTGAGCAGAAGCAGGAGAAGCTGGAGAAGCGCCTCAAGGTCGAGTTCGAGAAGCTGCAGCGCTGGCGTCGAGCTACTGACGAGCTGGCGGCCACGGTGGGGACCCTGGCTGACGAGCTGCAGGCCGCCGATGGCGAGGTGGCAGCCGCCTTGGTGGAGCTCCAGAGCCAGCACAAAGGACCACCAGCGACGGAGTCCAGAGGCCCCGCGAGCATCAGCCTGCGCAAGCTCATCGACGGGGAGATGGAGCTGGCTAGCCTTATTTCTTGCGACGATTTCATTGACGTGGAGGCGGTCAAGGGCAGCTACGAGGTGTCCGAGGATGACCTCCGCGAACTCGAGGAGCGCAAGAACGACGTGGCGAAGCAGCTGCAAGAGGTACTTGGTTCGGTGTTTCGGCAAGCGCTGGAGAAGGCCAACTCAGCCCAGGACCAGCACAAGGAGCATCTCAAGCGCCTCCAATCGAAGCGTCGACGCACGGCTGATGATGGGGGACAAGCATCGGACACAGGTGGGATCGAGTCTGGAACAGGGACTTCGGCGAGCCCAGGGAGCGCGACAGCAGGCTCACCTACCGAGGCGTCGGTGGAGGAGGTGGGCAAGGCGGCCACACAGGTGGACATTCGCTCTCTGGTCGCTGCTGACGGTGGAGTGCAAGCGGCTAAACGGGCGGGGCTTTAGCCACAGCGGGTGCTCGACACAGGTAGGGGCGTCGTGGACGTGTTCGGCGACTCCTCTTTCCTGGTCATCGGGGGGCGCGGTGCGAGTGGGGACTGCCCGGCGTTGCGCCGTTAGTGACCCTCGCACCGTTGCTCCCCGGCCCCGCGAACGGCGCGGAGAGTTCAACTCTGCCTCTGGCTGGATGGAACAAAAATCGTCGAGTTTGTATTCGTCGGTTGCGTGTCCATCGTCGGTGTCGCATACTCCCTGCGCTGCTGTGTCGCCGTCGGCTCCGCTGTCGGCAACTCCCTGGTCAGCGGTGGCGTCGTCGACTTCAAGGGTGGCGACAACGAGCTTTGTCGGATCGGAGACCAGGTGCGCCTCGAGCCTGGTCTCCTCAGAGTTAAATTGCGAGGAGATGGGGCAACGGAGTTCGGTGATTGGTCAGTGCGCCGAGTACGTGTCAGCCATTCAGAACGCAGCCGTCAAGCCCACCCACAGCTTGGCGGCCTTCTCGTCCAAACCTTTGGCTGCACGCAGTGAAGGAATTTCAGCGTCAGAACGCGACAGCCAGGTGCTCCTCGAACCTGGCTGTCTCAGAGTAGATTGCGAGAGCCCTTCGTGGGATTCGGGTGTTAGAACGCCAAATCCTGGGGGCAACCGATTTTCGGCTGTAGTGCCCTCCCAGGTTCAGTCGCCACGTGCTGGGTCTCGAGCCAAGGGAGTCAGTGTTGAGCAACCTCAAGGAGAAGCTCTGGCAGCGCTGCAGCCGAAGCAGGTCATCTCTCTGATGGAGGGGCTCCCTCCTGAGGACCGCGGGGCCCAAGGTACGTTCAGAGTGGGCACTCTGAATGCGAATACGTGGCCAAGGGCTCGGAACACTATGCCTTGGATTGAGATGCATTGCCAGTTGCCGCAGGTGTTGTGCATTCAGGAGACCGTACTGGACCAGTCGGGGGAAGCAGGGGCCCATCAATGGACCCGTACTTGCTCTCGGAAGCTGGCGCTGGGTTCGGCAAAGCGCACAGGAGAATCGGCCAGATCTCTCTCAGCTGGAGTGGGCTTGTCGGCGGCCATGAGCATTGGGGTGTCCAAGCTCCAGGTGCCTGAGAGGTGGCAGCATCGGGTGGTGATGAGGCTCATGACGGCAGGCGCTCACTCGTGGATCATCATCGGCTCGGTCTATGGCGTCGACTCGATCGGCCCCAAGGGCGAGAACCTGGAGCTACTGGAGTTCCTCAGCACTTTCCTGGGGGCGCAGCGTTTCCCGTTCCTGCTGGGAGGTGACTGGAACCTTGAACCTGAGGAGATCATGGAGCTGGGCTGGCTGGACCTAGTAGCCGCCACCATCTTCGCACCTGGCTGCCCAACCTGCAATGGCAAAGAGTACGACTACCTCATTGGCTCCCAGGCTCTGGACGCCTTCCCCATGTCGGTGAAGGCCAGGGTGGACACGCCGATCTCGCCACACTGCTACGTGGAGATCAAGCTGGAGGGCTTCAGTGACGAGCCCTTTGTCTGGGTGGAGGCGCCCCCGCGAGCCTTTCCGCTGGCCGACCAGGAGGCCAAGAGGAGGGTCAGGAAGAAGGCCAGGGGCGCCATGGAGTCCGTCCTCACCCCGACCACGGGACGGCCTACAGTACCTGTGCTTGACGAGTGGCATCTGGATGCCCCTGTGAGCTCGGTTGAGGATGCGGCAGCGATGTGGTTCAAAGCGGCGGAGAAGTACCTCGTGCAGCTGTTCGAGATTCCGATCGCGGACAGGAGATTCTTCTTTGGCAGGGAGAAGGGCGTGGTACTCAAGAAGAAGAGGCTGGTGGATTGTGCGAAATCTATTCTCGAGCGCCACGACGAGACGGACACTAGAGCCTGGCTGAGTGCCCTCAGGCTATGGGATGCCTTATGTGTTGCATCATCAGCTCCGCCTGGGTCGAAGGCAGGCAGACCAGAGCACTCAGAGAGGTGCGAAAGGCAGCTGCTGG